TTCAAGTCTCCTATACTTCTGTGGCCTTTCTTTCGGACTTTCACTTGAACTTCCTTCTGGGCTGGTAGGCTCTATGTGACTGAGTGGACTCTTCACAGGTGTAGTTGTATATGGTTCGTCATCACTTTCATCCATAGTGAATGGATAAAAAGTGTAATTCTTCTTTGCTTCAGCAGTCCAGTCTCATGTTGATTCTACATCAACTACCTCGTCTCTATTGATGATCAACTTCTCTTCCACGGGATCAAACATTTTGTAACCATTTGAGTGTTTTGAGTATCCCATGAATATGTACTTCTTGCTTTTGTCATCCAACTTCTTCCTTTCTTGATCTGGTACATGCACGTATCCAACACTTCTGAAGACTCGAAGGTGAGAGATTGTGGGTTTCCTTCCGCTCCATGCTTCTTGGGGTGTTTGATTCCAAACACTCTTTGTTGGTGACTTGTTCAGCAGGTAGACTGCACAATCAACCGCTTCAGCCCTTAGCTCCTTTTGAAGGTTTTTGCTCTTCATCATGCTTCTCGCCATGTTGAGTATAGTTCTGTTCTTCCTCTCAACAACTCCATTCTGCTGAGGGGATCGTGGGACTATGAGAAACCTTCGAATTCCCTGATATTCACAGAACCTTCTGAACTTCTTGAGCATAAATTCTCCACCTCTATCTGATCTCATTGCTTTGATGTAGCGGCCACTTTCATTCTCCACGAGCATCTTAAACTTCTTGAAAGCTTCAAATGTATCTGACTTCTGCTTCAAGAAGTAAATCCATGTCTTTCTACTGTAGTCATCAATGAATAGTAGGAAGTATTCGTTCTTGCCACATGATGTTGGAGTGATCGGACCACATAAATCTACATGGACGAACTCAAGTGGTGCTTTAGCTCTTGATAGGGACTCCTTCGGAAAACTTGCCCTGAATTTCTTTCCAACTAAGCATCCTTCACACAACTGGTCTGGATGATTGATCACTGGCAGACCATGCACCATCTTCTTCTGAGCGAGTAACTTCAAACCTCCAAAATTTAGATGGCCATACCTCAGATGCCATAGCCATGTATTGTCATTCACACACACTTTCAAGCACTTCGCTCTTGATAGGGACTCCTTCGGGAAACTTGCTCTGAATTGCTTTCCAACTAAGCATCCTTCACACAACTGGTCTGGATGATTGATCACTGGAAGACCATACACCATCTTCTTCTGACCGAATAACTTCAAACCTCCAAAATTTAGATGACCATACCTCAGATGTCATAGCCATGTATTGTCATTCACACACACTTCCAAGCACTTCGACATTGGGACTCTGGCCAACAACTGTCTCTTCTCATTTAGCAACTCCAGTTGACGATTCACCATGTGGACTTTATAATTTTTCTCCATCAGCTGACCCAAACTCAGGATGTTACTTGTCATGTTTGGGACATAGTACACATCACTGATAGATTGCTGTGAGCCATTCCTCAACCAAATGAGTATAGTTCCTCTCCCTTTGATAGGAACCTTCAAGGAGTCAACAAATACGACATTTCCTTTCACCGATTCATCCATATCCACGAACGTGATTCTTTTACCACATGTGGTTGCTTGCTACATTATCCAGATACCACATGTTGTCTGTCGGTTTTTCATCTCCTTGATGCGAAAGCATCAATATGCCTTCGACCTTTTCTTCTTGCACGTTGTTTGTTGTCTCCTCCATTTCTTTAGGCGTGCTCCAACATTCCGATGCATAATGCCCGTACTTCGAGCCATTATAGCACTGGACGTTGGATTTATCACGACCTTCATTGATCTCCAACTTTCTCTTCCACGTCCACGCCTACGACCTCTGCCTCTGGTGGATGTTTCATAATTGTTCGTGGTGAAATTTCCTCCGTCTATGGTTTGATATGCTCCTCGGGCTCTTCCTCTTCCTCTGTAGTTGCCTCTGCCTCGACCTCTGTTGTAACCTCTCCTCGTGCGCCTTCTTTCTCCTCCGTGGTAGCTTTTGTAGCTAACACTTGTTCTGATGATTCTTCATTTATTTTATTTAGTCTTTCCTCTCGTGCTTGCAATGAGCCGATAACTTCATCCACTGTCATCTTTGACACGTCTTTTGCTTCCTCCATGGCCACCACCACATAATCGAACTTCGGTAATAATGACCTTAAAATTTTCTCCACCACTTTGGTCTCTTCAATTTTCTCCCCATACTGCTTGAGTTTGCTGACGACTGACTTCACACTGGCAGTGTAATCTGAAACAGATTCACCTTCCTTCATTTTAATGGCTTCAAAATCTCCCCTGAGTGTCTGAAGTCGAACCTTCTTTACTGGTTCTACGCCTTGCATTTCCTTTTGCAGAATCTCCCATGCTTCCTTTGCTGTGGTAGCATCTGCTATTTTATCGAACATGAATTTATCAAGACATTGATGAAGTAGAGTGATTGTCTTTTGATCACTCTTTCTATTTTTTCTCAATACCTCCTTTTCAGCAGGAGATAATCGAGAATCCTCCGCGGGAATTTCATAACCTTTCTCAACAATATCCCAAGCATCTTGGGATCCCAGCAATGCTTTCATACGAATGCACCAATTTTTATAATTGGTTTGGTAAGGTGGGGGAATTGAATGGGGAAACTTGATTTTTCGGCCATGGGACAATCGTGATAACAAAAATAAGAGAAATTCTTTTCTAATGTGGAAGTTCAGACTACGCTGCAACCACAGAGCATACGTAAAAATAACTCAGGCTCTGATACCACTTTGTTGGAAATAAATAAATTATTTCCTTTATATTTCAAAAGTTAATGGTGGGCTTATTTGGTGGAGAGATGCTCGTTTATGGACTAGAATGGAAGGGGACTATTTTTATGTGACAAGAGAGAAATGGGCAGAGGAGTTTTGGAAACTTGGAGGCTTTTATTCTTTCTTTCTTATCTTGGTTTTGCTCTACAACTCAATACACGAACAAGCAGCCTATTTATAGGCTTGAAACTACACAAAAATTTGCACTCATTTAATTTGGGGCAGTTGGAACCGCCTGGGATTTGTGGGTGGAATCCTTATGCAACCAACCTTCTTTCTAAACAATTCCACAGACATAACACGTATGCTAGTATCTAGGGGTTTCTGATATTTTTATTATTTTATTATTAAACTTAAATTTCAACACCCATAACCTGCTCCAGCTCCATGAAATGCTGGAGAAAGATTTTATGTTTTAAGACCTCTCATCATGTATTTGAATTCATAAACCAGGTGACCGAGGTTTACATCTTTACATGGTTGGTCAGATTTGGGTAGCCCATTAAGTTAACCAGTTGATAGACCTTGGATTAATATGATGATAAAATGAGTGTTCTTTACCTCATCGCTCAATAGATTTAGACTTCTAAGAGACGAGCTTTAGTTGTGTCTTAGGATGGATGGACATTGAGAGAACCAATTGATATATTTTCTTTTTGTGTTTGATTCACCTATCAGACGTATGCTATTGTTCCATGTAATGGTGAATTCATTATATGTTTTGTTATCCTGGATGTTTATAGGTATGCTCAACAGCTTTCAGCTCTTTATTCCTTGCTCACTGTGAGTTTAATTTAAGTATTTAACGGGTAAAATGAGTTTTAGCCAGCTTTTTTTAAGAGTTCATATGTGTTCTTCTTTGCTTTCCTCTTGTAATCTTAACTTATTTCACCTTAATCCAAAAAAAAAAAGTTTGTACTTTCTATCTATGTAGTGTTTAGCGACACAGAGAACTAATTTATCTTTACATTTCCCTTTCTAAATGTGATTATCTAATTGGTGTTAGTAATCTTTTCTGCCGAAGTGGTAATTTGATTTCATACGTACATAAACAAATATGCATACATATTTGACGCGAAGCGGAGCGAGCGAGTCCTTTACTAGTAATTTATACTTATGGCCTCTGGATTGGTGAACGGTTATTGAAAAAAGTATTTTTCCTAGGTGTACTCTTATTAACATAGATCTAATGAAGGATTTCGAGTCAGTAGATTGGCTTTTTCTTCTCACAGTATTGGAAGCAATAAGAATGCCTGTACAATTTCTTGGATGGGTAAAAGCCATGTCTTTCTACCCCATGCTTAGTGTAGCTGTAAATGGAAGACTATGTGGGTGTTTTCTTGCAAAGAAAGAATTGAGACAAGGTGACCCTATGTATGTATGTTTCTTGTTCACCATTGCAACAGAGCTATTGTCTTATATTTTCAGAAAAAGATGATGAAGAAGTATCTTTTCTTACCACCTGAGGTGCAAGCAGCTTGGGATGACCCACCTGGTGTTTGTTGATGACTTATTGTCGTTTTATTATTATTTGGATTATTGAGACTATTCGGGAATTGGGGAATAATTGATAGATCGGGTAGTAGTAGGGAATTAGTCATTTTTATATAAACTACTTGTACGTGGGATTAGGGGGGGGGGGGGGGGGGGGGGAAGATTAAACCTAAATCCTAATTTTTCCACTCTCTCTCTCTCTTCCTCTCTCCCAACTTCGGCTGACCCCTTACTCCCTCCCCTCTCTCTCTCTCGGCAGGCTGCCGCCCAACCCCTCTCTTCCTTCTTCCTCTCGACCACACAATTCCCATCCCCTTCCTCCTTTCTGTGACACAAGAGATCAATCCCTAGATAGAACCCAATTCTCCGGGCTCTGTCATTTGGTATCAGAGCTCCGTTCTTGATCAAGGACCGACGAACAGGATGGTGCTGATGAAGTCAATGACGGCTGATGAGAAGGTTGCACAAGCCGTGGAGGAGAAGGCGCTCGTGGGAGGAGCTGCGAGTCAGGATGGTGATGGAGAAGAGGTGGTGACTACGGCGACTGTGCCGCTGAAGCCAACCCAGACCACCACCGCGCCAGCCAAAACGGCGTAGTCGAGGTGTCCACCACCGGCGGCCAGCAGAGGACGCCAAGAAGGCGTGGTGGAGGACGTGGCGGAGGAGGAGGACTTTCGCACTCTCCTGAAGAAGGTGCTGATCACCCATACTCGGGATCAAGAAGCTCGATAGGCGGACTCCCAGGCGATTTGGCAGGCTATAGGCGAGCTGAGAGAGTTCATGAAGCAGCGACAGGGACAACCACCAAGCCAGGCGGAGCCGCAAGGCGCCGGCAGAGCAACAGCGGACGACCAGGGCGCAGGGGCGGCGGTGGCCGTGGGAGTGGCGGTGGCCGCGGGATCTTCTCTGGAAGGTGGCGGCGCCGCAGCGGCGGTTAAGGTGATGCGACCAGGGTTTGGCCTGTCCGGACCCAACATCGAAGCGGGCCTGCTACCCACCCCCACAGCCCAGGAACTGGCGGCCCGCAAGGGTAAGGGCAAGATGCCTGGCTACGACACGGACGGGCCTCTGACGACTAATGGGCCGGAAATGGTTGGGAGATTTGCGAGGGATGACAATGGGCTTGGATGGCTTGGCCTAGATGATGAGGCCGAAGATGACAGGCTCAACTTGGGGGACCGATGGGCCGACCCAGTCATGGACCAGAGGAGTTGCGGACCGAGCAGGGTGGCTGACCCAGTCGGACGGATGGGATCCGCTCCTATCGGGCAGACATGGACCGGGTGGACTGTGGCGGGTCGACCCAAAGGTGGGCGGACCGAGCCGGGTCGACCCGAAGGCAGGCGGACCAAACCGGTCATGCCGGAGTGGGTCGAACCGAGCCTAGATGGACCTATTTGGGTCGGCCCAACGTGGGTCAAACTGGGCATCGACCCAACCCAACTCACCAGCCACCGGGAAGAGCGGACAAAAAGGGGTCCTCGTGCTGGAAAGGGCCGCATGGAGCTCCAGAAGTTCCTGGAGGGTACTCAGACCAACAGGGCGGCTATCCGGGATACTACGGACCTGGGGAACCCAAACCGAGGGCAGGGATACTCGCACAGGCAGCCATGGAGGACACCGGTTTAGGACAGGTATGGTTCGTATTACCATACTTATGAGGGAAATGATGGCATAGTTTTCCGAGCTAAACCTCCTACCATTGGATTTCCAAAATTCAATGGGCAAGAGGACGCAGGTCTTTGGTTGTATACAGCTGAGTGGTGGTTTAAAAACCACCTGATCCCAGAGGAGTGGAAAGCTTATCTGGCATTCTTCTACTTGGAGTGTGACGCGCTTCAATGGTGGGAGTGAATGGAGAGATCCTACGCGGCAGTTGAGACCTTGATCACCTGGTCCATGTTTCATGAAGAGCTCTAATACCAGTTCGGAAAATCAGAAGGGTGGGCACCAGAGTAGCTCGCAAAGCTGAAACAGACCGTCACGGTGCCCGACTATCGTGTTGAGTTCTTCAACCTGGGTAACCAGTGCAGGGGAGTGCCAGAGGACACCCTGGTTGAGTTGTGCATGGCGGACCTCAAGCCCGAGATAGAAGCGGCAGTCAGAGTATTCGAGCCGGATTCTCTGAAGGCTATTTTTCGTCTTGCAGGTGACAACAAGGAAGAACTTGCTAGTTGGAGGAGCACCATTGGCCGTTACCCGAGACCAAGTGGAGGGGGCAGCGAAAGCAGTGGAGCATGCGACAGCAGTGGAGTTGGTGGCACCGGGGGAGGATCTGCAGGCGGGAAATGATTCCGGAGCTAATACCGACAATGGGAATGCGGCACCAGTGGCCAGAATGGGGCCACGGGCCATACCGAAATGGTTCGTGCGACTCTCTCCGGCTGAGGTCAACCAAAAGAGGCGGGAAGGCAAGTGCTTCAACTTTGATGGTCGGTTCACCATTGGCAATCAGTGCCCGAAGCCGGACTCGGTGATGCTCGTCGGACGCTGGGAAGACGAAGCTGAGGACGTCAGGAAGCTGGAGGAACAACCTTGGGGACAAGGTTGTTTTTCGAAGAAAGCGGGGATGATGAGAACTTGCATTTTAGTACTTAGAATTATTGTTGTTTTATTATTATTCGGATTATTGGGACTATTCGGGAATTGGGGAATAATTGATAGATCGGGTAGTAGTAGGGAATTAGCCATTTTTATATAAACTACTTGTACGTGGGATTATGGGGTAAGCAAAGATTAAACCTAAATCCTAATTTTCCCACTCTCTCTCTTCCTCTCTCCCAACTTCGGCCGACCCCTTACTCCCTCCCCTCTCTATCAGCAGGTTGCCGCCCAACCCCTCTCTTCCTTCTTCCTCTCGACCAAACAATTCCCTTCCCCTTCCTCCTTTCTGTGACACAAGAGATCAATCCCTAATTGATCCTTCCCAATCCCAATCCCTAGATAGAACCCATTTCCCCGGGCTCTATCAGATTGTTAAACAAGTTTTATCTTATGTCTGGACTTTGATTTAATCTATACAAAATTCAAATTTTCTGTGTTGGTTTGAGTGAAGAAAAGCATGCAGAATTGTCTACTAAAACTGTGTTTCAAAGAGCTATATTGCATGTGGCGTGCTATCTAAGAGTACCATTGATAGCAGGAAAGATAACCAATGCAGATTGCCAGGTCTTGATAGAATATCAAAAGGATGGAGATCATATATATATATATATGTTGAGCTATGCAGGTAAAACACAACTAATAAACTCTATAATCACAAGCATGATGCAATCTTGCAAGAAGAAAAGTTGTTATAGCCTGGAATAAGATCACTCTTCCTAAGCATGAGGATGGATTAGGAATCAAATATATGCGTAAATGGAACTTGGCATGTATTGTTAGACATGTTTGTATCATTTTAGTTAAGGAAGAGTCCTGGTGGGTTGCCTGGATGTACATATATCGAATTACGTAGTACTCCTTTTGAGAAATTTCCATAAACAACTGCTCTTGGATTCCTAAGAAGATTTTGAAGGCCAGAAACAAAGTAGAATAGTATATAACTTGTTGGAATACATAGGTTTTCTGGAATGGGGCTCAGATGCAGAAGTATTCTGTGAAATTAGTCAGGAATTATTTGAGAAAGTATGCACTTACTTGGAGTCGTGAGTGAGTTTTATCCGATTTGGTATTTTTTTTCTTTTTTCTTTTGGTTGAAAATGACAATTGAGTCCGAACGCATGGATATACAAACTAATTCGACCCGACCAAAGCGACTTGAACCCGGTTTTACAAGTTTTCGATGGGAGTGAGTTTTATCTGTTTTTTTTATTGGCTGGTTGTGTCAGGTGTGAATTTGCCCAAAACTCGCTTCAACCAGGTCAAAGTGAGTTGAACCTAGTGTTGACGAGTTTTGAGTCGGTAGCGAGTTTTAACTTTATTGTTTTTATTTTGCTTTTGCCTTTTGTTTGAGAAAGACAATCGAACCCAAATCCATGGGTATACAACCTAATTTGACCCGATCAATGGCACTTGAACCTCTTCAAACTTGCAATCTGTTCAAAAAATTCATAAATGAGAACCACAATTACCTAAAAAAAAGATTACGACTATGTTTGGCCAGAAGTTTAAAAGTTTTATGTTTCAAAAGTTGAAATAGCCAAACACCTCTTAAGTTTTGCTTTTTAAAAAGAGATTCGGACCCAAATGTACACATTTTACCCCTCATTTCTCATTCGTTTAGGTTGGTATTTCATCGTTCCTCGACATATTTCACGCTATGTTGTGCTTGTTTTGATACATTTCAGGTCCTAGCACGTGTGGAAGGATCTATGATGAATTTTGGGATAATTGGAGGTCAAAAAGCACAAAAACAGAAGCAAAGTCCGAAGTCCGTGACAATTGCCTCGTAGCAGTGAAGGCGTCTAGGAAACAGTCGCAGTTCACGACCGGACAAGGCAGTTCGCAGTCTACTAAGACCGTGAACATGGAACACAAACCGTGAACAACAAGGCGTCCAGCGATGTTCCAGAAGCAACTGACGACAAGGCAGTTCACGACCTCTAAGACCGCGAACTGGGGCCATTGACCGTGAACCCAGGAGAGCGACGCGGTGCGTTTTGGACGACGCTGAGTTCACGGACGTGTTTAGGTGTTCACGGCCATGAAATGGCCAACGCGTCCGTGAACTGGTCACTTTCGAGCAAATATGAAGACAACAGCGAGGAGAGAGAAGGGGGAGCTGGTTTTTGGAGAGAAATTCAATTCCTCTCTAGGGTTTGCCCAAAACACCAAAAGGGGAGTTCTAGTGAGTGAGAGAGAGTGTGTTAGAGTGATCTTGGAGCATCATTGGAGGCTTGGGTGGAGATTCAAGCATAGGATCGATCCCGTGACGAATCGATCTCTAGTGAACCCATCCCATGACAAATGGATCACTAGTTGCTCCTCCTTGTGGTTCCCCTAGACTTGGTGAGTGTATCGATCCCGTGACAAATCGATCGCTAGTGATTTGATTCCGTGACAAATCGATCGCTAGTGATTTGATTCCGTGACAAATCGATCACTAGTTGCTCACCCCCGCGGTTCACAACCACCTACGCCACACGACTCCATTCAATCCAACGAGTCATGGTAGCTAGTTAGGGGGAAGCAACTCCCGAGTGAAGCTCCCTAGTTAGGATTTTCCTTTATTTACTTTTCTTTGCTTGTTTAGTTTGTAGTTTTCTTAGTTTGAAAACCAAAAACTGTTTTGCTAGATAACAACTTAAGTGATTGAAGTAGGGTACATGGATCGGCTTGAGTCGATATTTAAATACTTGCTCTATACTGCACCCCGCTAGAGTTTAACAACTTGGACTCTAGTCGGGATTAATTTGTAGTATAGTTTCATGCGAGTCAAAAAGCTGGAGTTTTTCTTAACTTAAAAGCTGAAGCTCCGATTTGAAAATACAAAATTGTCACCATATATTATTCTGTTTCTAGAATACATCATTTTGTTTCATTTATATCATTATAAAAAATAAATTAAAAAATAGTATTATTTAATATGAAATAAATCTAAAATAATCCATTTTAAATACTTTTTAATTTTTGGAATCTGTATTCATATTTTATGTTAGAAATAGTTTTTAGCCATTTACATTACCTCTTATATTATAAAGTAATTCTAATATTTTTTTTAGCTAAACACTCAATTGTTTTTTTTTTAATACTTCTTGAAAAGAAACAGATGTTGCTTCATTCTGCAAAATTTATAGCAGGTTCAACTACTAGTCATACAAATTGAAATAATAGCATCATGAAAGAAGTATAAACATAAACAATTTAGGCAAAATACACTTGTATAGCCATAACTTTCCAATTTGTGACAAATATACCCATAACTATCCAAAAATACAAAATAGTCACTTTCGTCAGTTAAAGTCCACGTGGATTAAAGGAAAAAAAGCGAAAATAAAAATAATTCAAAATGCTCCTTTACAGACCGTTTGGTACCAAATGAATCGAGAATTCATTTCATTGTAAAATGAATTATCGTGTAGAATTTTTTTTTTGACAAGAAAAAAAAAATTCTAATCTTTAGAAAGAAAATGAATTGACAGAAGTGGTTCCTGGAGACCCCAAATTCGATTTAGATTTCTGGGTTATGGAATAGATAGTTGGGGATTTCGATCGAGGTTGCGGAGGTCTTTTGATAGAGATTCAAGAGCTTGGTTGTGGATTTCGTTGAGGGGCCGCCGGAGGAGGAGTGGTAGAGGAAGGCATGGATTCTGATCGTGAGCAGAACAATGGAGTGGTTTGCAAACAGGGAGAATCATAGATCCCCCAATCGACTCTCGGCCATCATGTTGCCTCCAAATCCAAAGACGATTCGCCCCGGAGAAAGCATAGATCTCCTTCAAGTCTGAAGCCGTTTCACGCCGTCATCGGGCAGGCCGAAGAGGAAGAGCTTCTTCTCCCCGCCGGCGAATGTCCCGCCCCCAATCGCCCTATCAGACATATATAATTTGTTGTTTCTAATTGTTTAGAATGAAGTTGATATTATGAAGTGGAGAGTGAAGAAACTTAGTTGACGAGTAAGAAGCTTTCAATTAATCTTATTGTTTATAGATGTTTATCTTTAATTTTGAACAATTTGTATTGATCATTTGCGGTTTACTTGTATGCTCTAGATTGGTGTTTTTGTATGAATAATTTGTATGAGAAAATTAATATTAAACTTTTATTTTGAAAGAAACTTGTTATTGTAAATTTTTTACCACAAAAACCCACGGGTACCCATGAACCCACGGATACCCAGCGGGTTAGGTTGGGTTTGAGTTTTTCAAACCCAGCGGGTTTTACCCCGGGTTTTTTTGGCGGATAAACCCATGGGTTTGGGTTTGACAAAACCCGCCCCAACCCGACCCATTGCCATCCCTAGCTACGCAGGAGGATAGAAGGGCGCAGCAGCGCCTTTGGCAGAAAAAAATAAGTTACCAAAAAAAGGATAAAATATTAGTGATAAAATATTTTTAAAATAAATTATGACTTGGCATCTACGTGGCAAGTGAGACTGAGTTGTATCTTACGTGTACATCAATTTGGTATCCTAGTCAGTCTAACCTTAATCTAACTGACAGAGTCTCTAACACCGTTAAATTTTCTAATGGAAATGGCTAGATTTGTCACAATACCTCCATTCTTTTTTGAGCTATTTTGTTTTTTAATAGTTGTGGATATATTTGTCGCAAACGTGAAACTTATGGCTATGGAAGTGTATTTTGCCAATAATTTATTTTTCGACGACCCTTCTACCTTATGCAAGTTCATCGACCATATACTATTGTAAATAACAAACCAATAAACGAATGATTACGAATGAAATAAGATTACTTTCACTTTTGTGTTAACATTAAAACTATTACTATTTAAAATATTTATTTTTCTGATACTGGAAACGATAGCTAGCGGGCTTTTGCTGGTACCATATGTATTTTAGTAAATTTTTATGAACTATAAAAAATTGAAATGAATTTGATTGCAAAGATCGATGTGGTATTGTCACCCAACCGACATTGCAATTGACTTTGCAATTAAACCAAAGCTTAAATGTTAACAAAATGCTAACAAATTAGTTATTACCACCCAACCCATCAGCCAAATAATCCATTTTGTTCTTCAATCCTCTTGTCTCTTATTCCACGAAGTCCCTGTTGGATTTTGGGGACAAGAGTACACGTACGATAGCTCGAGACCGGGTAACTAGGATTATGATAGAGTCGTGAACAACGTTCACTTTCTGTAAATAATATTTCCACCCTCCACAAAGCCTTGGGTTACAGAATTTTTTTTCGTAGGATAAAACTATCACCACTTTAGATTTTAGACTTAAGTACCTAAAGCATATTTAGAAGTTAATAGGAAGAAGAAGTGATTTCGGTGTGTCTTTTTATATGTCCACAACTTCGGTGGTTCAACCAAAGTCTATGCAATCGATTCCAACATTCCTCCCTCATTTTAGTGTATTCAACGAATCCACTAAATTTACAACTGTTTTCCAACAAAATTTAAGCATTAATGAAAATGTCGTGACGATTGAATTTTCATCTTATTATATTACACTTGACGAATATTCGAATATTTGGGTGTCGGTAACGATTGAACCCATCTTCTCATACGAATATTTGAAGATAATATACACTTAAGTTTTATAAAACTTCTAAGTTCCTTGACACTATTACCCGCCATGTGTCCGATTCTCATAAGCGCACACGAAACCAAAATCCGGGTTTTTTGAAG